AAAAACGTTTTAACTTGGTTCAAAAATTTAATTTCCAAAAATTTACTTTCAATCTACTAATTTAGTACTTGTACAACATAAAATCCATTATCATACCGAGAGATAATGAAGTCAGAGGAGAAGATAAAAGAAGACGTTACTATAATTAACGTCTTTCATAAGGGTTACGAAGTCAGGAGTCCTATGATACAAAAAAAATCAGTTAATAAAAATTATTTTTAATGAAGTTTCAAAATTTTTTTTTGAAACTCACCTGGGAATCTGTTGCCACTTGCCACTGATTTCCTTACAAAAATCAAGTTTCAAGTATTTTTTTTTTCGAAACTTATCTGGGATCCCGGTTATAGGTCAGAGCTGATTGTCTTTAAAATAGAAAAAAGATTATAAACTGATTTTGATTTTTAAAGTTTTGAATTCATTTTTTTGAAACTTATCTTGGATCTGGTTCCAAGTCGAAGTCGATTTCTCTACAAAAAAGGAAAGAAAGATTAAAAAAATGTTTTATTAAAGTTTCAAATTTCTTTTTTCGAAACTCACTTGGGAATATGATGCCCACGTCGGAGCTGATTTCCTGAGCCGATTTCCTGATAAAAGGAGAAAAAAATTAAAAGAAACTTTTATAAAAAAGTTTCAATTCCTTTTTTCAAAACTTGCCTGTTCTAAGCGCCTAGAATCATCCAAAAATAAGAAAAATTGAGGCACCGAGATCCTATGTGTCCATACCATCTAAAAAAAAGGAGAAAATAAAAACTTATTAACCATTTTAAGACGGAAATAACGAATTAAATAAATAATATACTCGTCAAAATCCCACATCCCAAAGAGCCAAAGAAATGCCTAAAAAAAAATAACAAACAATTAGAAATCATTCATTAAAATAAAAAAAAAATTCAAGAAAAAAAAAGTGAGAATCTTACCGGAATTTTGCATCAAAAGAACCACCTAAGAAAAAAAAAACTGAATGTTAGAAAACGTTCTGTTGAAAGAGTTAATTTAAAATAAAAGAAAACACCACTCACCGAATCTACGTTCAAAAGATCCGGTGAATCACCCAAAAAAAAAACTGCTCGTTAAAAGGCGCAGTAAAGAAAATCATATATTTACCAAAAATCCCAATATCCAGAGAAATCCAAAAGAACCATCTTAAAAAAAGAAAGAAAATGAAAGTTAGTAACTGTTCATTAAACTAATAACAAAAAGAGAATTAAAAAAAAATACTTGCCAAATTCCTATATCGAGACTAGAAAACTCAAATTAAGTATAAAGTAACACCTTAAGCCGCATGTCCAAAGAATCGCCTAAAAAAGAATAAAACGAAATCATTAGTAAAACATTTCGCTAAAAAAATAAATTAAAAAGAAAAAAAATATTTTTTTGGAAGCCCTTACCGAGATAATACACGCCCAGGGACATGACCGTCTAAAAAAAGAGGAAATTGAAACGTTAGTAAAACGTTTCATTACTGTAAATTAAAAAGAACAAGAAACTCACCCACAGAATTCAACGTGTCAAAAGCTCTGAACGAGCTCCCATCCCTCGTATCTAAAGAATTGAACAGTCGCCTAAAAAAAAGGAAAAAGAATTGTTAGTAAAATTTGTCGAAAAAAAAAATTTTATTTTACTTACCGAAATCCGGCCATCTGAAAAATAAGAAGAAATGTTTCGTTAAAGAATTAATTTGAAAAAAAATATGGTTCACCAAAATTCGAAATTTGCGAAAATATTAATAAATAGTAAATATAATTATAAAAATTAGGTAAATAGTAAATATAAATATAAAAATACAGTACATGTAAAATATTAATATTACTTGCTAATAAGAAATATTTGTACATTATATATGTATAAATTAGATATTGTGAAAATTGAAAACCCAAATATTCATAAGAATATTAAGAATATGTATTTTACAAGTGTTTGCAAATATTGTTGGAAATATTGTACTATATATTTTAAATTTAAAAATACCTTGTACAAGGATCGCACAAAATAGTTATTGGATGGAGGAGTAGCTATATCAGATATAGCCCACATCCAATTAATTAATAACATCATAAATAAGCTTTATTTAACTTTCATTGAAATGCTATTTTAATCCACTTTATTAGCTTTATTCAAACTTTTCCTACAAAATATTCAATTACACCATATTTTTTACTCCACTTTATTATATCAATCATGTGTTATTGCTATGCGGCTATGCCTAATAAAAATATCGGTCTATGAAAATCTGCATGATCCTATTGGGCTGAACCCCTGAACGTATCTAGTAATTTTTTCCATAAATTGTATTTACTTTTGTGTTCATCATCATGTGATAATCACTCAGGTTTTCTCAAATTATATACATTTATATCATATTATTATAATAATATAAAGTCGTTTTGCAATCCAAAACTTATTATATTCATCACAATTCATTAGCAATATATGATTGGATGATTACAAAATTACTAATTTATAAAGAAAAGGCAAAAAAACGAGCAAAAAAAATGATAAAAAAAAAAGTGAACAAATGAGACAAATAAAATCCAAATAACTGTACTTGTAGAAAATGTTGAATAAAGATTTTATAAAATAAAAGAGTAGTAAAAATATCTATTGGACTAATTGGATTATAAAAATGACGTTAAATTATGTTATTGAGCAATTAAATCCAAATAATTGGAGTATCAAATCTGCATCAACGCTGTAAATCAAAAAAATCGAGAGTATAAAATTTGTAGTAATCTTTTGTTTATAAAGCTGAAAAAACTACTAAGCTATAATTAAAAAGAAAATTTATCAAATCTTTCATCTCGATTCTAACGGGAAATTTCATGGCACGCCGAACTATACTCAATTATTGGGTGGGTCGACTCGCGTTTTAATCATTGATGATTCACATATCGGTGTTTTTTAAAACTAGATCAAAATAAAATAATAAAATAATAAATTAAAAAAGAAAAGATATACCTTTTAAGACGAAATTTAAACCCAAATGGAGCAAACGGATCTAGAACATATGAATCGAAAAAAAAAATAATAATCATCTTATTTTAATATACCAAATCTTATCGTCGATTTAGGTTAAAGGTCTACACCCTCCCACTACAAATAGAATAACTCACTATAATGAGGTATTTGTTGTCGAGAATTCGATTTTTAAATAAAAAGAAAGCTGTATTATTAATTGAAAAATGCGTAAACATGAAGTTTTGGTCGTGTAGGATATCTGAAAAAATTGGCGGGACGAGTTGCCCTAACTCTTCGTTGGATTCACTTTTGAACATTTCTAAAATTTAGTAACATATAACAAGATAATTATCTGGCCCAAAAACTCGTCATTCTAGAGAGAAAGAACCCTAAAAGTCGAACTACATAAAAAAATTGTAAATAAGTCAAAGATCCCTCAGAAAAAAAAATTACCATTTCAAGGAAAGCTATTGTGAAATTATGATTAATAATGGATTATTCGCATATCAAGAAGTAATGCAAAGAAATAGAATAAGTGAAGAGTTGTTTGAATTTACATACATTACAGGACTTAAGCCATTTATCGCCGTTTTCAAAATGATGTACGCAGTTAAATTTGAATAAAAAAAAAAAGAAAACCGAAAACCGGACGAAAACCGGACGAAATATGGACAAAAAACGGATGAAAACCGGGCGAATATTGGTATTCGAATATACAATCACAAATAAACTGCGTACACCATTTTGAAAACGGTGATAAGAAAATACAAACCTACCCTGTAAAAAAAAGTCGATACGTTTTTTATATTCCATCTTTTTTCCGTAAAAGGCTCATATTTCCGGAATTAGTAACCTTATATCATGGAATTTATCGACATTTTCCGTGAATGGATCCGTGAAAGGCTCATTTTTTATGATAAAATTTTTTATAGGGCTACAATCTGACTTCTATACCTTGCGACTTACGCCTAAAATTTTGACAAGAAACAATATTAAGTACAACTCAATAATAAAATTTATTGATACAAAATATTTAAAAATTTAGAAAAATTTTAAGTAATTTTTTTACTTACTATATATTATCTTGAAGTTTTATTCTTTTAAAACGTCAACTTCATTTCTTCATTGTTAAATAAAATCTGAAATAAGACTATTCTTCATAGAATGATATAAAAATATCTTATGAATTACTTATCAAGCGAATAATATATTAAATATTTTCCATAAGTATTATTTTTCAAGTTAATTAATTACTGTAAATTAGAATTCAGGAATGAAAATAAAAAAAAAATGTAACATGTATCCTTTATCTAAAGAGAATTTTTTAAAGAAATTTCATAAAATGTGCAATAAAAAAGGTTTGTACGTCCGATTGGAAAACATTGGAAAACATAACAAGGTGTGATTTTATCATTGCCAATCGGTGATAAGATGCCATGTCACAACATATAAATTTTTAAGCATATAATAGAATTTTATCATATATTTTTTATTTTACTTATTATTATTATTATTTTTTGTTACAAGCTTAAAGGTTCTTAAAAAATGGTTCATTGTTATAACTTATGATTTTTTTACTTTACAACGAAAAACAACGAAAAAAGAGAAAATTGAAATAAACGGGAAAAAAAAACAACAAAAAAAGAGAAAAGAGAAATAAACGAGAAAAAAAAAACAACGAAAAAAAAAAAAAATCTTCAAGAGTAATCAAGAATCTTGGATACATCGCTGTAACCAAGTAATATAAGAACCAATGGTTTCCACCCAGTATAAATGTCTTAATGTCAGTAAAAGCAACTAAGGTTGCTAAAAGGCCGGCTATAGCAACAGTCGGCATTAATTGACAATCAGAATGATATGGATTAATTGATTACTCATATGTAATAATTCCTGTGAAATTCGAATCATAAATAAGCAATTTGGTTCTTTATGATAATATGATGAAGAAAAAATTGAAATAAATGAGAAAAAAAAACAACGAAAAAAGAAAAAATTGAAATAGACGAGAAAATAAATAATGAAAAAATTTTTGGAAAATTTTTGATTTAGAATTGTCCATATTTAATAAAATTGTAACAGCATATTTCACAAGAGCATGAATCAATATAAAAATGGTTTATATTGAAGAAATCATCTTCTGGTATAAAATGTTGATAAGGATGATTAAAATTAGGGATTTGAATGTAACTTGGATCAACATTTACAGTAATCTCGGATGGGAAAGGGGACTGTTGTAGCGACAGAGGATATGGTGAGTCATAAAGTTGGGAGAAAGGATCAGAAAGGATTGGAATGTGACTTGGACTAGAAACATTGTTGTATTCGGCAATTCCGGATGATGAGTTATTATCTTGTAGGTCCGGAGAAAATGACTCATCGACGATAATTAATTTTTCTTTCTGCCTTATTTCCGTTAGGCGATTTTCCACATCTTCAGATAGTTTCTTATAAGCATCTCTTACTGCAGTCTTTTCATTGAACCACATCGAACTAATATGAGAAGATATTTTCGTCATAGACAAAATATCATCAGTTCGTTTTCTAAGTTCTTTAAGGAAAGCGAGTCTGTATATGAGGTATCCGTTGGGAGCCCTCGATTTAAGTTTATCTTCTGACCTACTGCCCAAGATTTCTCCAACTGACAGTTCTGGTGGAAATGGCACTTTAAAGAGCGGAATTTCATATTTGGTTGATTTTTTAACGTTCATTTTCGATTATTATCAAAATAAAGGAAAGAGAATTAGATCTGTGGAAATGAAACGGGGTAAACTAGTGACTGTATATATACTTATTTTTGAATTAGCTTTATCTTTTTTTTTCTTTTGGAAGTTAAATGTAAAAAAAAATAATTATATATAAAAAGTTGATTATATAGATCAATATAAAACAAAGCGAACATTACTTTAAGCATCATGTTAAGATCATTAAAAAGATTTCATGCATAACATTGTTTTTAAGTGACGAAAATAGTTAAGTTCACATGGAGAATTTTTTCCGACTTTGAACTTAATAACAATATTTGATGAGGCAAACAAAAGATAACCCTATAAAAAAAGTTTGTGCTAAATTTGTGCCAAACGGGCTAATCATGCAGCATTTATTCGAAATTTGTAATATAAAATTCGAAACAAATATCGTATGATTAATCCATTTGGCACAAATTTAGCACAAACTTTTTTTATAGGGTAAATTAAATTTTTAAAAAAAAATTTAAATAAAAAAAAATCGCATCATTCCAAATCCTGTTTAAAAAAATATAATATTCTATATAATCACAGATCTTCGGCGATTAGATTTTTTATTGTAAACGTGAAAAAATTAATTCAATTATGTAGTATAATTAATATCCAGGTCACATAATTATTAATGTAAGATTCAAAATTTTATGACCGGTGATAATCACACAGCTAATCTAGTTTTTTTTGTATATATAAATATATAAAAAAAAATAATATAATATATAAATTATAATATTTATTAAACAAATAACCAATTGATAGTATTTTTTTAAAAAAAATACTTGTCCCCTATTGATTCTTCTTGATAAAACTAATTCCGAAAAGGTAGAAAAAAAATCTACAATAATTGTATCTAAAAGTAAAAAATAAATAATTCATTTTAATCGTTCATTCATTAATTTATACTTTACCAGTAAAAGAAAATTCGTCCAAGATTCCATTTAATTGTTCCATAATTTAAAAAAAGTATGTACATATGAATTATTTGTATTTTCATGCTCATATATTTTTTTATTTACGTGTAATCCGGTTTAATTGATACGCCAATATGCAAAAAAAATTGAACAAAATGATGACTGTACAACCCGCCCCTTGTCCACTACTACTGTATATTTATTTTATCTGAACTTTGATAACGTATCTCATAATCTATTAATCGGAGGAAATACTATTTTACTACATTAGTAAAAAAATTTTGTAACTCTTAGTTGTTACACTTTATTACTTTCTGATCCTGTATTTTTTCTTCGTTTTCATTTTCTATTGTAATAAGTCTTTGTGAACACAATTTAAGAAAGATTAAATTTATATTTAGGAATTATGAATGTTGTGAACGTTTCAAAGGATAAACTAATTAACATTCTCCATCTAATGAAAAAAAACATTTAAACAAAAAAGCGAACTTCCCCTTATGTTTTTACTTTATATTTAATTGAATAACATGTCATGTTATTTAGCTCAGATTAAATGATTTTCTTTGGCCGCAGCAGCAGATCTAATTTTTCGATCAAAATTAGTATTTATATTATTATTCTATTTCCTAATTAATATTAATTAATATTCAGGAGTCTCGGTATTTATCTTAATATTGTTTTTTATTCTCGGATTTAAAAATCCTGTGTAATTTTTAAAATTACAATGATCTATTCACTGTTGTTATAGGGAAGAAATTCAAAGTTGGGTACTATATCGCAGTAGATAGTGATTTTAAATCACTAAAAAGTTTAACAGATAAATTTTTCATACAATATCAGATGATCATGCAATATACGTAAGGTACTTTCTCTTTATTTCCAAATTATCTAACAATATGCTGCATTTTATCTTTAATTTACCTTTTTGCTTTCAAAACTTATTATGTGCATTAATTTATGCATAAATAATTTCAATATATGCATTTTTCTTTACACAATCAGAACTCTAAAAAGGGAATATTGCTTTGAACCATGAATACATTTTTTGGCGTAACGGATCAACTTTTCATGGTTCCAAATAATTTCAAAATTGTGTGATAATTATATTGATCTATTACTTGTTACATTTAAAAGAATATTTCACCATAAATATATAATGAAATGAGTTAATGAAAATAACAAGTATGATAAGGGAAAGGTGGTCCTACACTAATCTCCCACAAAAACAAAAGGCTTATACAAACATAGAAATAAATGAAACACTACATAACAGATTTAATTTAAGTATTAAATATTATGAACATTATATTTGTTGCTTTATAAGTCTAGAAATTTAAATTCCTTTTTGTTTGTTACAGATATAGGTTATAAGAAATAACTTCATATAACTACTATAATAATAGGTAAAATGACGTTTTAATTCTTTTAGTAATTGAATTTATAAACGTCTAAAATTTTTATGCCCGTCGCACATGAATTAATCGTCAAATAGCAATGATTTTCGGTTAATTCAAATTAATTTTAACTATATCTGATAATGATTTACATTGACGTTATAAAAATGATAGCCGAGTTTATCGGTTTTATATGCCGGGTACGCATATTTTGTGGCGTCTAAATTTTGATCGGCTTATGCAATGCAACATTTATCTTGAAAAAAAAAAACGGGGAAAAAATTCACAGACGAAAAAAAAGAAAAAGTAAATGTTTTTAAAATATTATAATAAAAAAATCATTTTATTTCTTTTATGATAAGAACATTTAAAATATAATATTTTTAAATCACATTAAATTTAATAAACAAATAAATCAACATTATTTAGTAAAATGCCAATTATTCTATGAATATTTAAACCAGAATGATAAAAAAATAACATCTAAATAATTTTACACCTGCAGAATGAGTTTAATTAACCTCCAAAGGCTAGTCTCATCACTAAAATTACGCTGTAAAGTGGAAAAACAAATTGCGCGTGGCAAAGTAATTTTATACACACAAAAACAATCATACCTTTGAAAATACTTTAAATAAAGTAGTTCAGTATATTCAAATATTAATTTTTATCATATTAGCTTAAGCTTCCTAGACCTATTTCATTCAACAAAATTTCGTTTATTATGCACTTACACAATAAAACGTATAACTATATCTCATATTTATGCTTTCATAAATATTCAGATTTTTAAAGTTTTAAATCAGTAAAAAATAAACAAATTAATAGAACTGCCCCTATGACACCCGAAAATCTGCCCAAAAAATTCCGCACAGGGCCAGCACTACAGTAACACGTGAATAAAGAGTGACGACTAAAAGCATGACAAACAGGATTTTGACTAACCGAAAAAAACCAAGTCCCTCATATAGAAAATGGAAATGATGAATAAATTTACTATTGCGGAATTTTTTCGGGTGTCACTGGGGTGCCACACAAGTCACGTGGAGAAGGAAAAAATACCAGTTACACGTGATTTCGGATAATTAATTATGTCAAAATACTACAGCTTTTTATAAACTCACTTATATTTAACTAGTCAACAATGTAAACTTGTAAAGGGTGTCATGTCCTTCGAAATCATAAAGAATTTCTGAATGAAAAAGGGGTTGCTTTAAAAAAGTGCTTAACAATGTCGAAATAAAATTAAAATTGTACGTTCAAATAAAAATAAGTCACAGTCTGACACAGTAATTAAATATTTTTTTATAGTGTATTACTGTAATTGTCGAATTGAAGCTTCCCTATAAGAAATATGTATACGGAAAGGAAACGTTTTGTATACATTTTATGTACGTTTCTATAGATTCCGTATACAAATTCCGTATATTTAATAAGCAATTCATTTTTGAACATTTTTTAAAAAAACTGATGTATACGAAATGTATACGGAAAAAATTAATCATACGGAATGTATACGGAATTTTTAAACTTAATATTTTTAGAAAATAATTTTACAAAAATCTCGTATCATAACACGAGATCACGTGATTGTTTATTGTTTTGTTATGGTACGTTTTTTGTTTTTATATAAACCCTTACTTTGATGAGTTTGATCTTCCGATCTTCCTTTCTGTCTTTCCCTTCCTTCTCTTTTCTCTTGCTTTTTTCGTCACCCCCCTTTTAAAAAAAAATTTTTTTTTTTCGTACCTCACTTTAAAAATTTTTTTTTTCGTCACTCCCTTAAAAAAAAAAATTTTTTTTATTCCCACTCTTCTTTTTTTTAAAAAAAATTTTCTTCTTTCTATTTCNAAGTGCAATGTATAATTTAGCCATTTGTTATTACAATGGAGAAGGAACAGAAAATAATTTAGAAAATGCCTTTCATTGGTATCAAAAATCAGCAGAAAATGGCTATACTAATGCAATGAATAATTTAGCTTTTTGTTATGAAAATGGAAAAGGAACAAAAAAGAATTTAGAAAAAGCTTTTCATTGGTATCAAAAAGCAGTAGAAAATGGTAATGAAGCAGTGATATTCAATTTAGCCAAATGTTATAAAAATGGAATAGGAGTAGAAAAGGATTTGGAAAAAGCCTTTTACTGGTATCAAAAAGCAGCAGAAAATGGTAATGAAAAAGCAATGATTCATTTAGCCGTTTGTTATCAAAAAGGAGGAGGAACAGAAAAAAATTTAGAAAAAGCCTTTTGTTGGTTTCAAAAAGCAGCAGAAAATGATATCGAATCAGCAATGTTTGATTTAGCTGTTTGTTATAAAAATGGAGAAGGAACAGAAGTGAATTTAGAAAAAGCCTTTTATTGGTATCAAAAAGCAGCAGAAAATGGTAATGAAATAGCAATGTATAATTTAGCCATTTGTTATGAAAATGGAAAGGGAACGGAAAAAAATTTAGAAAATGCCTTTCACTTATACCAAAAAGCAGCAGAAAAAGATTATATTAATGCTATATATAATTTAGCCATTTGTTATTATAATGGAAAAGGAACAGAAAAGAATTTAGAAACAGCCTTTTGTTGGTTTCAAAAAGCAGCAGAAAATGGCATTGAATTAGCAATGTTTAATTTCTGTCTCTTATACACATCTAGATGTGTATAAGAGACA